GTGTATGTTTGGCCATGGTGAAATAAATGTTCGATGATTTGATTTAACTTATTGGTAGTTTACACTCTTGGAAATAACTATTTAACACATTCGCGATGGGCACTGAGTTCGACTGCAAAAACTCTTTTAGGATACGTGGGAGTATTCCGTCGGGTCCTGATTTTTTAATCTATAAACTTCCCAGGGCGCTACTCTATTCTTACATTAATGGGGCATCGATTAATATACACATTAACAACTCAAACTTTCACATATAATGCAATATTGTACTGGTCACGTATGTGCAAATATTTAGGTGTTATAGAACTTTTTATATTTATTTTCATGTATCGATCTGTAATTAATTTTTTTTATTTATCAAGCAACAAGATTGTAATTTCATAGTTCACTTGTTTGGAATGTGACAATAAAGCTTAGGCCTATCTTATCGTATCCTATTTTATCCTATACTAAGTATTGATGAGCACGTAATTGATGCACCCAAGGAACGGTGCATCACTTGTGACGATTTAAGCATGTACTACCTCGTTAAGTGTTCCCACACTGGCAATGATTTTATCCACATGATAAACAGCCATCGGCTGTTCCACTAATATTTCCTGCAGACTGTCAACATAATCGACAAACTTCTCTGGATACTTTGCTGAGATTTCGCCAAGAACCATTAGAACTTGGAACTGTGTGTTCGGTTCGTTTACCTCCTCCATTAAAAGTTCCAGATGTGGTAGAAATATCTGAAGAGGGAAAAAGGTAATATTCGATACGTTCTCATAATTTTTCTATATAAAAATTAAAAAAAAGACCTTACCGTATGTGGTCTTAGACAAGGTGCAATGTGAATTGAGTGAAATATCAATGAAAATCACTTTTATATTATATTTCATTTCGTATTTTAACTATCGCATGCGTCACGTTAATTTTGCAAAATACAAAAAAGAACCAAGACATTTTAGACACTTTTTACCACCTTACCTCTGGTGTAGACTTAGAAACGTCGTCTAGTAACATATAAACATAACTTTTCTTGGTAGAATTCATGTCGCCTAAATTTTCCATGATGATGCCAAGTTTCTTCATAATCTTTTCTGGGCACTTTGCATACAGAGGTTTCAAAGCCACTGAAAGAAAGGGCGGATTTAGTAGATGTGATTTGAACATAATATAGGGTGGCCTAAGTCTACATACAGTGGAAATCAGTTCGCCACCCTGCCTGATTTTTCTGCTATATGACGGCGTAGCTTTTACATGTAGGCATATACAGTATTACTTCTTTATAATGCGTAATTAGGCTTAACGTCTTCATGAACTATGAAAGCTGATTTTTTTTTAATTACAAATGTTTTTGTTTAATGGGTTGTCTTACTTCCTATATAATACAAGTCTTCCTCATTGATGAAGACGTCCACCACATCGTCTGCGCACGGTACAAGGGCATCAATCTTCTGACACATCGTTGCTATGACACCTGACGCAAGGGGTTTCAGCATCTCAATATTTGATTTCACTAGCCACATTATCCCTGGGACGAATTCACTCATATCAACCAGAGTAGCCTAGAATTGTTTGAAATTCATTTATAGACATATTTTTAAAAAAAATTACCGTGTTTTTCTTTTAGGTTTGTTGTGATGTAACGGAAAAAACGTAATGGTGAGAAACAGTTGTAATGTAGTGAATGTAAGATTCTTAGCTTTAATTATCAGTTTATACTGAAGGCTCAAAACGCTCGAGGCGTGGACTAGATTGACAATAATTTTCTTCTGCCCTATGAGTCACTTCGTGTCTGAGCTACCCGGTAAGCCGGTGCCAGTGGTGGTCATAATATGGGGTTGTATGATGAACCAGCACACCGGACACCCCCTACTCGTCTCGGAAGATATACTTGGTTCTTTAAAGTGCACATGAACCAACCGGCGTAGCCTACATAAGTTCAAGCAACAATAATGCAAGAAATAACAATCTATGTCAGAAAAACGTGCTTCAAAAATTACAAAAAAATAGTACTGCACCTTAGGAAGTATAAAGCTGACTAATATGTTCGTCGCAATTAAACCCCAACCTGTAAGTGATGTGCCTTCCAGTTCCTTCGTCAATGTGTTATTCCATATTGCGACAACGTGCTTCATGTATTTATCTACAGGACTATAAATTGTAAAGGAATACACCAAAATAATCCACTTTACTATTTGCGTTATTCTTTTTGTAACATTGACATTTCCCTATATTTTAGTTTTATTCATTTTGTTAATTTCACGCCAAACTTAGTAAAAAATAGTAAAATCCACTCACGAGTAAAAATCACCACTTAAATGAGCATATAATATTCAGAAAAATCAGTAAAATTCTCTCTGAATACAGAGAAATCTTACTTTTGTCCCCCACTATTTTAACCTATTGGAGTGATAAGAGAGTAAAATAAATTGATAAACAAAACTGGTCTCATAGGCCTAACAACATGACATATGTTTTCGTCTTACCAGTTTAATTGAAATGCAACTTCCAATGATTTTTCTGCGACGCTTTGTTGATAGGGATGATCTTCACTCAATAATATCTCATCAATTTGCCTGTACCAGGCATCGAGTGCTTGAAAAAGCTCGGGTGTCAGATTTTCAACTTTGGCACCCTACAGAAGCCATTTTACAAGTTAAAATATCAAGTCAAAATAATTTCTAACGCGTCTTTTTAACTGACTGGCTAGAAGACCAGTGTCACAAAGAGTTCGGCCACCAGTGAATAATAATAGCAGCAGAAGCAGCAGCGGCAGCAGCAGCAGCGGCAGCAGTAGTAGTAGCAGTAGTAGTAAAGTCCTCTTCACCAGGTTAGAATAAAGCAAATCAACAAAATAAAACAACAAATAAACTTAGCATACTTCAACTCTAAAATCCCAGTCATCTGTTAGTACTTGGGCAATCTTAATCTGGACAACGGTGGCACCCTTCAAACATTTTAGTAGTAACTCTAGGAAATGTATTCCGACCTTCTTCTTTACCTTATCTCTCCTATATAAAAATGATAATTTTCAAAAATATTAGTCGGCGATCGGGAGCATCAAATCATTATGTATTAAACATTTTTTTGTTGAAGGTTTGCATAACAATGCAACAAGTAACATTGTGTTAAATGAGACCTTTAAAGAAAAAAAAAATACCAAAACAGTAGAAATATTGTGGTGTACTGCAAGTAAAGCATTCGCCTTTTGACAAAGAGTAAGTTTACTTACTTCAACGCTTCTATCAGTTTGTTTACGCAGTCCTTGATTTCTTCTGCTGATTCGATTTTTTCTGGTTGGTCTTTGCCTTTCTGGTCCTCATTTTCTTTAGAGACTCTCATCTTCGGTGGTTCAACGAATGTTTCAATTATCATAATGGCTTCTTCACTTTGGTCCTATAATACAACGTCAAACACAATAATAATAAAAGTAATAATAATAATAATAATAATAATAATAATATTAATTTTATTGATAATAATAATAATATTAATAATAATAATATTAATAATAATAATAATAATAATAATAATAATAATAATAATAATAATAATAATAATAATAATAATAATAATAATAAATAGTAATAGTAATACAAGTAGTAGTAGTAGTAGTAGTAGTAGTAGTAGTAGTAGTAGTAGTAGTAGTAGTAGTAGTAGTAGTAGTAGTAGTAGTAGTAGTAGTAGTAGTAGTAGTAGTAGTAGTAGTAGTAGTAGTAGTAGTAGTAGTAGTAGTAGTAGTAGTAGTAGTAGTAGTAGTAGTAGTAGTAGTAGTAGTAGTAGTAGTAGTAGTAGTAGTAGTAGTAGTAGTAGTAGTAGTAGTAGTAGTAGTAGTAGTAGTAGTAGTAGTAGTAGTAGTAGTAGTAGTAGTAGTAGTAGTAGTAGTAGTAGTAGTAGTAGTAGTAGTAGTAGTAGTAGTAGTAGTAGTAGTAGTAGTAGTAGTAGTAGTAGTAGTAGTAGTAGTAGTAGTAGTAGTAGTAGTAGTAGTAGTAGTAGTAGTAGTAGTAGTAGTAGTAGTAGTAGTAGTAGTAGTAGTAGTAGTAGTAGTAGTAGTAGTAGTAGTAGTAGTAGTAGTAGTAGTAGTAGTAGTAGTAGTAGTAGTAGTAGTAGTAGTAGTAGTAGTAGTAGTAGTAGTAGTAGTAGTAGTAGTAGTAGTAGTAGTAGTAGTAGTAGTAGTAGTAGTAGTAGTAGTAGTAGTAGTAGTAGTAGTAGTAGTAGTAGTAGTAGTAGTAGTAGTAGTAGTAGTAGTAGTAGTAGTAGTAGTAGTAGTAGTAGTAGTAGTAGTAGTAGTAGTAGTAGTAGTAGTAGTAGTAGTAGTAGTAGTAGTAGTAGTAGTAGTAGTAGTAGTAGTAGTAGTAGTAGTAGTAGTAGTAGTAGTAGTAGTAGTAGTAGTAGTAGTAGTAGTAGTAGTAGTAGTAGTAGTAGTAGTAGTAGTAGTAGTAGTAGTAGTAGTAGTAGTAGTAGTAGTAGTAGTAGTAGTAGTAGTAGTAGTAGTAGTAGTAGTAGTAGTAGTAGTAGTAGTAGTAGTAGTAGTAGTAGTAGTAGTAGTAGTAGTAGTAGTAGTAGTAGTAGTAGTAGTAGTAGTAGTAGTAGTAGTAGTAGTAGTAGTAGTAGTAGTAGTAGTAGTAGTAGTAGTAGTAGTAGTAGTAGTAGTAGTAGTAGTAGTAGTAGTAGTAGTAGTAGTAGTAGTAGTAGTAGTAGTAGTAGTAGTAGTAGTAGTAGTAGTAGTAGTAGTAGTAGTAGTAGTAGTAGTAGTAGTAGTAGTAGTAGTAGTAGTAGTAGTAGTAGTAGTAGTAGTAGTAGTAGTAGTAGTAGTAGTAGTAGTAGTAGTAGTAGTAGTAGTAGTAGTAGTAGTAGTAGTAGTAGTAGTAGTAGTAGTAGTAGTAGTAGTAGTAGTAGTAGTAGTAGTAGTAGTAGTAGTAGTAGTAGTAGTAGTAGTAGTAGTAGTAGTAGTAGTAGTAGTAGTAGTAGTAGTAGTAGTAGTAGTAGTAGTAGTAGTAGTAGTAGTAATGCTTCGTTCTCGCAGAATATCATTTATGCTGCGATAGTACCTCGTCATCTTTCTTTTTGCCAAAGCAACCGCAAGTTTAGACACAACTCCGGACTTTTTACCCTTACTTTGTTGCGTGATAAAAATAAAACAACACACATTAGTCATATGTGATTACAATTATGCTACCTTTTTTCTGAATATTAACCTTCCTGGGTTCGTTTGAGTAAAATATAATTACAACCCAAGATATGTGACTATTGAGGGTCGTTGATCAGTTAGGCCTAATTTTTTGGTGAAATCATCGAAAGTTAAAATATGCTTCATAAAAACACCTATACTTTATATTATTGTTGGAGGTGTTTCCTTATGCCATTTTCATACAATGTAGACTATTGTGCATTACGTTTCCTGCAGGAAAATAGAATTGAAAGTTCCCGAAAGGGTGCGACTATTGGTGCCGCCATTAGTAGGACCCTTTTAGGGTGTCTCTGCCGGCATGTCATGTACATGTCGTGACGCAGTCAATAAACACATTTTGTAAAGCCTATCAAAAAATTACCATTATTGTTGAAAACCGTTATCCCATATATTACTTACTCCCTGATTTGAAAATGAATTAATTTGGACTCTTTAAATTTTAGAACTTAAATTTAAGTTTGGGCTTAAGTTATAAGTATTTTTACAAATTCCAGTATAAAATTGCAATGATAAATAATACAGTTTTTAAAAAGAGCATTTCTGAAGCAAACTGCTTTCAACGGTGACCCCAACCAATAGAATAAATAGTATGTAATTAAAGTTATGTTCACAGCCTACCATTCCCTAGCTGCTGGTACAACATGGTCTTCAACCACGTCTGCTATTATGTTCAGGTTTTTTTCGTTCACGGCTTCTTCCTCGTCGAATTCGTTCACTGCCGTAATCAGCATCTTTATATAAGAATCAATATTTTCAGGTGATTCCTGGATTTTTTTAACCAACTCCTCAACCTCCGATCGTTTCATTGTAGATTATGTATTTCCTGTGAAGTCAAATTATCATGCGATTAACTATTATCCGACATCGAAAAGAAACATGTGAACAAATCTATTAATTGAGCCTACATCTTTTCTCATCCACCTAATCTGTTTTTCGTTTTTTATTGATTGTTTTTGTGTTGCTTTTTTTGTCTATCCTTCATTTTATTTGTTTCTCTTATTCAACCTCTATTGGACATTTGTGAAAAAGTATGCGCCAGTCTCTAACCATTACCACTACATAACTAGTCCATAATTGAGAATGACATCGCCTCATATTACAAAGATGATACCTTAATCCATGGGTTAGATAGGGGCCCGGCACGGTAAGCTTCAACAAGTTTGTTTGTTCCCACTATCATATGAAATGACAAGATTAATAAGTTAACTAGAAAAAATTAGGATTCATTAAAGGCCATTTGTGATATCGTTAGTAATTTACTAAGTCACATATCACAATCCCATAAAATGCCGCCAATAGGAAAAGAGAAAAATAAATAATGAAGCAATATGAATTAATGTCTACCTTTCAAAAGTTACTAAGGGCGATCCTGTCCTGCGTTCAATTTCTAAAATTGTTTGTGCACCAAAGGCAGATCAGGGTACTATAGAAACAACTGGATGCAAAGCTATGGTATCAATGTTTAATGGGGCCCAAGCTCAGTCTCTCATATCATTACGTTACAACTTCCTTTGCAAGAAAGTGGTCACAGGAGCAAAGGCTTTCGTAAAACCTAAAAACTTTCACTCTCGACGGACTCAAGTCATACTGTGGATTAGCACAAAAAATATGGAAAATAAACCTAATGAGCACTTATAGATATTAGTTAGAAAAATTTTTATACAAGAACTAATTTGTGGCAAGGGTTCTATGAATAAATCGGAATTGCAAGTAATTGGTATCACAGGTATTTTTATATGGAATTCTATATATATTATTGAATTCCAGTTCATCTTAAATATTTCCGGTGTGTATCTTTAAACTCAATTTCCGACTTCTCTTGCGCTTTGGGAATAACGCTAACCATATTATTTAGTAAATGGTAAATAAATGAACAACCTTTTATTACATCTTTTAGTTACATCTTGTAATAATATTAATCAAACCACAATAATGTATACAATAATTACACTTTAAATCGTAATAAGATTTAAACTCGTTATATGTCATAAAGCGTTGGTTATTAATCCTTTGTCCGAAACAAAGTTGATATCTTTAAAGCCCCGGTCCTTAATTAATTTATTTGAAGGGTAAAATTAATTTTAGATTTTATGTCAAGGGCCAAGGAAAATCTCCGAGTTTCAAGCAAATTTTTATGGACCAAGATAAAATTCTGAGATGCTGTGGCCAAAGCCGCCTTTTGGCCACACAGACCTATGAGGGGTATTTTTTTTTTGGCAATTTCCAATTCTATTCTATTTTTAATTGTACTGCAGCGCAATATTAGAACACTAATTTCATTACAATTTTTGCACCATAAGATTGATATGGTATTTTGCCACAAAAATTATTACACTTAATTTTTTTTACTATTTCTTACTTATTGATGAGCTTTTATTTCTTGCTTGTGTAAAACCTTCACAAAAAAAATTGGCCAAGGGCAGTTTAGGAGCGATGTCCCGGAACCTCTGAAAGGGGTCTAGTGGGAAAATCCCCCGGAAGCTCTAACAATTTAGTAGTTGTGAGTGCTTAAGGCCCGTAATCGATCTTACAGCATTATATTTTGTAAAAAAATACATATGATTATTTTTGCCTAATGAATGTGTTGAGTTCTCCTTTGATAGTCACTCTGATGGGAAACTGCCTCCACAACTGGTACCGGTACCACTACTTATAATTCAATTCTCTGATGGTTTTAAGTAGCATGATAAGTGGTAAAGCATATTTTAATCTATTAGGTTGTATATAGGCCTGTATGTAGGCTGAGGCTGTTTAGGGCCCCAGCGGGGTCCAGAGGCCGAGAAGCTCCGACAAATGGCATTTTGAGGCCGTATTTAATGATTTTCTGAAACCCATAATTCGTGGATATTCTATTTAAAATCCATTCATTTTGGTGTTGTTAGGCCCTGGTTTCGAACTATCGCTCGCGACCTAAGTTAGAGTCGCCAAAATATTTTTGCAGGGTTGGCAGACGTTTAATGTTGTCGGAGACTGGTAATAGCACTTGTCCTGTCTTCCTTTCTTTGTGCAAGTGTAACTGTGTGCGCAGTAGCGTTTCCTGAAATGGAATTTTTTTCTATAAAGTAATTTTATTTCCATCATATTGACCTTGATTCTTATGTTTGCTTCTCGTCGTTTACGCCTAACCAAATACTGTTACCTCGGGCGTCCATACAAAACCTTTCAAACCAAACATGAAGTTACAGGCATAATCGTAACAAAAACAAAGTAATTTTTTTATCAGTCATACAAAGTTTGTTCTATTTAATAGTTTGGCACACAATCGGTATTTTCTGTGTAATTTCACCCATCCTATATCCATTAAATACCATATAGCCTAAAAACTCTTTACCAGTAAAATGTCGAGTCTACTCATAATAAAAACAAGCCTGTGATCAAGTTTTAATTTTTAATCTGCTAGGTGATATTTTGCTGAAATAAGCCTACCAATCTTTTGGCGTTCGTCGATTGGTTGGTAACAGATTCAATTCTAGATCTGGGTGGGAGTCACCCCTACTTCGCATTGGCCCAGTGTTGTATTTTGGCATTCACTTTATTAAAAAAAATATTCATCGAATGTTTATTATTTTTAGTTTCTTTAAATATTTTTTGTATTAAGAACCAGGGCTTTAGAGCTTCATTCTTTATAATAAACAGTTTTTTTTAATTTATATTAATATTTGAGTTATTCCACAAAACTTCATCGGAGTCCTTCTCATCATAAAGCATTTTGAATTTAAACCAAAGACTTATAACCTCACACATAAAGCTATTACACAGTTTTTTTGTAACAGAATTCAGTAACTAATTTGGGCTTAAAATACCAAATCCACTCCCCGCCTATATTTGAAATTTTCCAGTAAAATAAAATGTTCCATTTATCATTGGATCGAACATCAAAATATCTTTTGACCCAGAATATATTTAAGACTTCATTAAATTTACAAATAGTCATAGTAAGACATCCCCTTTTTTTGTCACAATATACCAACACTCTGCTTACTTTATTCCGTTTCCCATTCCAAATTAAATTAAATAGAGTTTGCTGAAGTTTTTTCCATAAAATTATTTGATGTAGTTGGAAATACGTAAATAAATAAATTACTTGTGAAAGAGATCATAATTTAACTCAATAAGTTCGTTTTTATCGAAAAAATATTTATGCCAAGAAATTTAACGGGACCAGTCGTTCAGCAGTATCCGCTGTTTGGTAAGAGGTTATCTTTTTTCGAAATATTAAGAAAACTATATTTAGCCTTGTTTAATTTTAAGCCAGATATTTCACCAAAATTTCAATAACGAATATCATTCCAAATAGACGACTTTGATCCATCCAAAATCTTTGCCATCTTTTGGAATTAGTGAAATAACCCCTCTCCTTTGACTATCTAATAATTTCTCATTTCTAAAGCAATAATTAAAAGAATCAACCAGTACCCATTTCCTAGTTCATTCCAAATAAATTTTTATGCAATTTTTTTGGGGGTCACACACCAGATTTACCCTACTATTAGTCATTAAAATCATGAAAGATGAATCACGTGTATACACTGTACAGAAAAGGAAATTGTATTCGAACCTTACCTTAAACGGTGTAGCTTTCTTAGTTATACTGATTTAAGAGCGTTTAATGATTGCTTATTAGACCTAATGAATGTAGTAGATGTTGTCGAATGGTTATACTAAGTTATTTCCTGTTAGAAAGAAAACGGAATTAATAAATAACCAAAACTTCCGTTCAGCATTGTGTGGTATTACACATAATATATTGTACTGCAAGAATGACTTCATCGAAAAAGTAAATAATGATATTAAAGTTGTGGATGCAGCAGCTGTTTACCATATCAATAATTAATAACGTAAGGTATACCAACGTTCTTGTGTATACTGTAGTCTTAGGTATCACGTCATTTTAAAACTTTAAAAAAGAATTATATGATATTTATTTATTAATATATTTTATTTATATCAAAGAATTGAATAGTTATTCATTAATTATGAAATTTTTTTGTTATTCCTTATTCAATACCGGATTTTTTTTATTTATTCGTTTTACTCCATTAAACTGTTACTGTATGTATGTACTCATTTATTCATTCATCTTTGTATCTTGTGTCATCCATTCATTCATCTATCTATCTATCCATTCCCCTATCCATTTTTCCATCAGTCCTTTCTTTAGATTGTCGGTTCGTTGGTTTGTTCTTTCACTCGTTATTTCATTCGTTCGTTCAATTAGAAATACAGTATGCAAAGAACTGTTAAGTGTGAATAAAGATTACGCCGAAAAATACATTGCCGAATAGCAATGCAAATAAAGTAGCAATTGAACAAAATATTGCTGATCGCAAGAATTCTGCGTATCGTAGTGGTTACTGTGGCAACCACATATGGTTACCCAATGGTTCTGTATTACAAGCAAATTGTATTTGGAATTAGAATATTTTTCTTCAAATAATTCTGTTATAATGAGGACCACCTCTCTTAAAAGACCACTATTTCCCGGCAGAGAAAGTCCCAGGGGAGGATCCAGAGATGTACGAGCGTAGGGAGGCAGAAGGGGGACCGACAGTGGGGCCGATCGAAATACAATTTCTCTAGGGTCCAGAGGCATGCCCCCGTGAAAATTTGGTGTTCTAAACGCCTGAAATGATATTCAAAAACTCATTCAAACTTTATCTAATCATCCCAAGCTGCGCCCTCTTGTCATTACATTACCGTTATATAGTCAAAATGAAGAGCCAACAAATTCTCATGATCTTTTATCAGAGATTTTCTGCAACCATAGAGATCTAATCAATATGTGATGTACGGTAACATCATAACATAGAAAATAAAACACTGTCTTTGATGTATAGTTAATTTACCTACTTCAAAACCTTGAAGTAGGTAAAGTAGGTAAATTTTACCTCTAGATTAGCGGATATGACACTCCTATATGCTTATCATAAAATTCATCATCATCGGTTTAATTAATCGCTGTGATGTACCTTAGAACATAAAACTTAATTGTAATACGACACCATTTTCATTCATTTTTGTCCCATTAATTTCATTGCATTGCAATAAAATGTTTATTTATTTTATTATTTTTTTCCGAAAAGAAGATGCTGTGTTAAATGAATTATTAAATAACAAGAATTTCTTTTAGGATTTAGCCCTATTATAAAATGAATGTTTGTATTAGTGGAGCAGCAGAATATTTTTCATAGGTTGAAAGATAAAATATTCTCGTGAATAGTATGTTCCCTTGACCGTCCTCAAAGGAATTTTTTTTCCAGCTTAACCTAGATTAACACCCTGACATTGTTATCTTACCAGTTTGATTCCAATGCAATTTTCAGTGATATTTTTGAGGGCCTGTGTTGAAAGTGACGATCTTCGCTCAATAAGATCTCATCACTTTGCCTGTACCACGTATCAAGTACTTGAAAAATCTCGGGTATCAGTTCTTTAGCTTTGGCAACCTAAGGATTATATTTAAGTTATTCTTTTAGCAGTTCTAATGTCAGATCTTCTAACACTTACGTCATCTGTTTTCAATGTATTATTCATACTATATATTGAGCAGGAACGCCTGTTTCACATTGAATGTGCTTTTATATTGAATTCGGTGCTCTCTGGGTTTTCTCTAAATGTGATGCAGGCGCAACATATGCATACGCATTATATAATTAATTTAAAATCAACCACTGCGTAGCCTATTATTATACTATATTGGTATGAAAATATCAGTACTTATAGTAGTTGACGGAGTGGTATTGGTCTAGTAGTAGCAGTATAGCAGCAGCATGCATTGGCATTAGTAATAGTAGTAATAGTAGTAGTAGTAGTAGTAGTAGTAGTAGTAGTAGTAGTAGTGGTAGTAGTGGTAGTAGTAGTAGTAGTAGTAGTAGGCCTAGTGTAGTTATTATTAAGGCCTGTTTATACTTCAACGATAACGATAAAACAGCTAAAAAGTGATTGTTCATATAGAAAAAAAAAAATATGAGAAGTTTCGATTCGATAACGATTTATCGTGTGTACGGTAACAAAATATCAGATGACGTCATAATCATGGAAAACGATAAAATTATTGCTACTACTACGATTTTAATGTTTTTCCATGATTATGACGTCAACTACGTCTAACAAAAACAAAAACATTCTATTAAGGCTACAAAAACGAGCTGCTAGAATAGTTAAAAATAATTTTGATTTTATAAATTTTCGTGGAATTGATCTTATTAAGCAAAATAATTGGAAACTTTTTGATGAATGTAGAGATTACGCCCTTGCATGTTTAATGTACAAATGTATAAATGGTGTTGCGCCTTCCCGCCTATGTAATGATATAGAAATGGTTGTTGACCGACATGGATATTCCCCAATTCCAAATTGCTCTGTAATGAATGGCTCTTTAAAAATCTCTGGGGCAAAAATTTGGAACAAAATCCCAATTAGAATTCAAGAATGTCAATCTCTTAATTTATTCAAAATTACTTATAAGAAACACTTTTTCTGATTTCACAATTCATTTCCTTTTATATTTTCTTGGTCTATACTTTTAACATTTATTCCCGGCCCCGAAACTTGGACTCAGAAGTACCGGGATGGTGTCCGGCGGGGGATAGTTTCTACCATTTTTATCTATTTAAGTAATTGTACAGTATTTGTCCATTAAAGTCAAAGTCAAAACAGCAGAGCCGTAATAAAGTAAAGAGAGAGTTTGGCCAACTCTGTTTCACGGGATTCAATATACGCGCGTGTGATTGGGTGGATCGCAATCAAAGATTTTACACCAGACGTGCCCGAACCACTCTTCTTAAACTGATCTTTTATCAGCTTGTATTGGGCTCGCAATGCCTTTACTTTTGTTTGAATGTGGGCCGTCGTTCTCTTCTCATGTCCGAGACTGGCTAATCTGTCAGCAAGCACGCCAAAAATTCCCGTTTTGTTGTTTTGTTTTTTTTTAATTTTCTATCCGGTCTCTCAGCTCGGGTTGGCCCCACAAATCTACCAGGTCAGCAGTTTCCTGGTCGCTCGAAATCAACCGAATTATTATTAATTAAAATTTGAATTAACTTTTATGAAAAGTAATGATTGCGTCTTGATTGAACACGCATGAAGAACTCGCAGGTTTTTAATTCAAGAACTTCTAAAAGCAACGGCGTCATCGACTGTGATTGGTCGACAGCCGACGAGGAAATGTCAATCTCGGTCACACCAGGGTCAATATGGGTGCTGAGCCGGGATCGAGATAGGTAGATTGAGATCGAGGTCACGTCAGGCGCGAGTCGGTGCAGATGCGGTCACATTACGAAAATCTCACCCGCGGGGAGTCAAGCCAGGCTTGAGACGCTAGTGTGACCGTAGCCTAACACTGGTGTCCTTGGATTCAATTATGGGTAAACGGATTAGTTGCCTTTTTTTATGAGGTTTTAATTGTTCTTTACCGCCGAAAGTGCGGTATTCTAACGTTAGTTTAAGGAGGGCTGGTCGGCCTAATGCCTACCTGGTAATCCCGGCCACGAAACCTTGACTCAGAAATACCGGGTTGGTGTCCGGCGGGGGGTAGTTTTTACCATATTGTAGTTAAGCATAACCTTGAGCTGTAATTCCTGGCCCAGAAACCTTGATTCAGGAGTACCGGGTTGGTGTCCGGCGGGGGATAGTTTTCCACCAAAGTTTTAACTTGTTTATTTTGTTATACTGTGATGGGTACTTTTGTTGTTGTTATTGTAATATGTGTTTGCAGGACCATATTGTAAAACAGTGGTAAGATCTCGCCTGTATATGTTATCCTGCCTAAAGATGTTTTAAATAAAGAATTAAAAAAAAAAAAAAAATCTGATTTGATTTGTCAAAATATGTTGTTATCGCTTTCGAATCGTTTTAGTGTAAAAACTTATTTCTTATTTCTTTTATTTTCTATATGAACAATTGCTTTTTAGCAGCAGCAGCGGTGGCGGCGGCTGCAACGGCAGCAGCATTAAGACAGATTAAAATCATCTTAACACATGTAGATAAAAACAAGAGTTATTCAACCAAATAAAACCACGGACAAACTTCAACATTAAAATTCCAGTGATCAGTTAGTCCTTCGACAATCAAAATCTGGACGGTGGTGGCTCCCTTTAAACATTTTATTAGCAACTCCAGGAGATGCGTTCCAACCTTCTTTGTTATCTTATCTCTCCTATTAAAATAGGAAATTAAACATTATCAACTAATTATTAAATAGATTCTTCTGCGGATTTGATATCATGTGGTATTTGCACCATTTCATAATAATCTAACCCATTTTTGTGTCTATACCCCTTTAGGGCTAGACACATGTTACCGTCTAGTAGTCAACCCTGTAAGATCGAGTAAATCCGGTATGGAGGAATGATGGGATAAGTCATGAGCTAAAGATAAAAATGAATATAAGACCTGTCCTAGAAAGTTCACTAACATGACACTACAGTAAACAACACCACATATTTCTTCATAACCAAATCCCTATGTGGATACTTTATTAGTAAATATAATACCTATATAAGGCAGTATAGGGCATAGACATGTGCTCTCGAAGGGAGCCTATTGTTAATGTAGGCCTAGGACTAGTTCTGGCCATTTTCATTTTGTTCCATTCATTATCACGCCTCCAACTAATACAATGTCTTTATTTGTTGAAATTAGAACTTTATTTTTCTTACAATCTCAAACGATAGAAATTTATTTCAACAAACAAATAATGGACGCTTTTTTCGTGCAATAGAAAAATATATTATAATTCCGTTGAGAGCAGTTCTATTCAACTCGGTTCGCCTCGTTGAATGAAATAGACAGTTTCTCAATTCATAAAAATATTCTTCCTATCACCCTCATAAATATTCATTAACATTTATTCCAAGCATTAGCCTTCTGACAAAGAGTAAGTCTACTTACTGAAACGCTTTTACCATTTCATCTGCACAGTCGATAATTAAATCAGCCGAATTACTTTTTTCTGGATGGTCTTTTCCGTACCAATCCACATCTCGTTTAGACATTCTTATTTCCGGTGGTTCAACAAATGTTTCAATTATCATAATGGCTTCCTCACTTTGGTCCTATAATACAATGTGGAATGCAATAATAATAATAATAATAATAATAATAATAATAATAATAATAATAATAATAATAATAATAGTAATAATAATAATAATAATAATAATAATAATAATAATAGTAATAATAATAATAATAATAATAATAATAATAATAATAATAATAATAATAATAATAATAATAATAATTACAAAACTTAAATTAAACAATAATAATAAACTATCGCCCCGGACACCATTCCGGTATATCTGAGTCTAGGTTTGTGGCTGGATTTTTAAAAACAGTGTTTTTTTTTAAATTTGAAAGCCTTTAAACTATTTTTCGCCAGACACCATCAAGGTATTTCTGTGTCAATGTTTCGGGGCAGGAATTACAGACTTCAGAAAAGGCGAGCTTTCAGTCATGACTTAAACACACTGACTGATTGAGCCGCAATAGACCTTTCCGGAGTGTCAATCAAACTTAACAGCGGAAAGGTCCATTAATATACATTGGTAGATTATTCCTGACTGCAAGTGTTGCAGCAGCAGAAGATCTTCCACCAAACGCAGTGGATGTTTTAGGTGCTAACAGTATGTAGTTGTCATTTAGCAAACACAATCCCCACATTACAACATTATTTTAACTGTGATTTAATCTTATGTTTATCATAATTGTCATTAAGAATATAATTAAAATATTTATCAGGACTACAATAAGAGTTAATAATAACAGGAGAGATCAAGAGTACCTTCTACATAATCACACGATTTAAATGATATTGAGTAAAAGTATGAATAATAAAATGTACGAGATGCAGAGTTATTAAATTTCAAACAAAAGGCCCAACAGAAGCTGTAGATAATTTTACTATTTGTTCATATTCTAATAGGTATTTAACAATGTCAATGTCAATATCAGGCCTCATTGTTTTGCTTTTCCAACAAATCGATTTATAAACACACACTTTTTCATTTCGTTAAGAGTCACTATGCCTCGAAATAGCACGCTAGATAGATGGCATATTAAGTGCTATTTTATTATTATTTATTGAATACAAGTGATTTATTAGAGGGTCCAATATACATTTTTGTCAAAATTTACTGAAATTATATATGATTGAGAGTTTTAAGTGCAAGCTCACCTTCCAGTTTAAAATGTTTCGTTCTCGCAGAGTATAAACTATACTGCGATAATACCTCGTCATCTTCCTTTTTGCCAAAGCAACCGCAAGTTTGGCCATGACTCCGGATTTTTTACCTTTACTATGTTTCGTGATAAAAAAAAACACATGTAGTTAAAACTATACTATTTTTTTTTAACTATTAGCTGTCAGATGTATACATGGGCAGTCGTCTTCGCCAACTTAGGGTGTTAAAAAAATAATGCTTATGTATAATCGCGTGTTTAAAAAAATTGAATACTGTCATCCCGTAATTTGCCTACGAAACTACTCGATTTTAAAATAAATTAATTTGGATTTCAAATTCAGATCTGTTCGTAAATTAGGAATGCTTCACAAATTCCAGTACATAATTGCAATGACAGATAATTATTAAAATGGCGTTTACTGAATCAAACCACTTAAACGGTGACCTCAACTAATAACAATAATAAATAGTATGTAATTCAAATTATGTTTATTTTTCACAACGAACAATTCCTTAGCTGTTTTTACAATTCAATTCAATTCAATTCAACAAAACATTTATTTTCTTCCAAATGCACTTAAAAAAACAAAATTACAACATGGCTTTCAACCACTTTTTCTATGAAGTACAGGTTTTCTTTGTTCACATCTTCTTCCTCGTCGAACTCGTTCACTGCCGTGATCAGCTTTGGCATGTAATCATCAAATTTTTCAGGTGATTCTACGATTTGTTTAAGCAACTCCTCAACTTTCGATCGTTTCATTATAAATTATGTCTTTCCTGTAAAGACAAATTATCATGTGATTAATTGTTAACGAAATATTTTTGGATTCGATTCATAAAAATCCATGTGTTAATGTATCGTATATGATCAAGCATTTCTAAACAAAAAATAACACCAGATTGGTTGATTGATGATGAAGATAATGGTAGTAATATTAGGAATAATGATTATAATGATAATGAACTTTAGTGACATGATAATAGTGAATAAATGATAAACAATTAATAATAATAATAATAATAATAGTAATAATAATAATAATAATAATAATAATAATAATAATAGATAAATAACAAGCAATATGACAAGACGTGATGACTTATATATATATGGTATCAAATGCGATGATAACGATATTTTAGAAGATAAAATAAGATTTATAAACATAATCCACGGATATATCATTTATTATGAAATTTATATCAATGCATTTGTATTATATTGGTGCCCATGTATGCGTGTTGTAAGTACAGTATACATTACAACCTGCTTATATACCCGTCCAACACTCAATTACTTACGTCAGACATACTAGCTGCAATAATAAGTGTATATCGATTGGTGTATGTATGTTATAGTTTTTTGTCCTTTGACACCATATCTAGTTTATTAGAGACCAAAATCACAATATAACATGCAATTACCTCGTATTAATCTTGTGGGCCTGTATCGTAGGTAGAATAGTGTGATAATTTTGGATGGGTTTGCGCAAGGCGGACCCCAGAACCTCACTGCTTTTTTTTGTTGTTGTTGAACTTTAAAAGCGTCGCCAGTTTTGAACGTACGTGCAAGCAATATTGTAGGTCTATTTCCAATAAACGTTCATGGCCTTTTTTTTAAAGTTTGACACCAGAGTGCCCCCTACACTTACAAACAAAACAGGGTTTTCAGCAAAGATTTTACATTACTGCCATTACCACTAATAAGGTATACGTCCATGGATGGTTAAGGATGCGTTCTAAAGAACCAAAAGTCATGAGTTCGAATCGCGTCATGGTATTCAATTTTTATTTATTTTTTCATAATTAAGACATTATATATATCATTTAATTAATTTATTTAATTTCTTAATAAACCGTTGCCGAAAGCCCAATATAATAACTTGCGCCACTGTATACGGTACTGTACTATGATTTATGAAATCATGGAGAATGGTGCATATACGAAGCGTTAAGCTAGTCTCCAACAGCGTCATGTGTGTACACGCGAGTGACAAAACACATGCTCATAATATAACAATCACTACTGCTATGATGCAATACATAACTATTATTACTATAAGCCTACGTTATTAATTGATGAATCTACCAACCATAACATTATATCAAACAGTAAACATATGCATTATGTCATAAAAATTGCAATGAAATCAAAGAATTACCTGATCTTCGCACAGCACCATTTCATTGACTACTACAGTCAATTTTATTGTATGGATTGTGTATTGTAAGTGAACCGGCAATCTAAAGGAAATGTTGACAGCACGTGACTTAAATATTTCCAAATATCACCATGGCGATTGTAAGCATTTACCAGGCACCTAATCGTTTGTTCGCATGGAATTCGCTTTCAAAACCACTGAGCTATTAATATCTCATGCTTAGATCATATTATTTATACTTCACTACTGAAAACCTAAAGCATAAGTTTCTACTGTATTATGAATGTTTCCTTGTGTACAAAGGTTCTAGTTTTACTACTTTTGTTGATAATTATTAAGATTTTTCAAATTATATTAACAACTGTTTTATTGTAGAATCGGTACATATATTGCTTTTTTGTTTAGTAAATAAATAAATACAACAAAAAACCAGTTACAAGCATGGCAGACTTGAAATATTATAGACTAATACAGTATAAAATTTAAGACAGAGAGCTGCCGTAGAGGCTTATCACCTTACCCATATTATACCCTTTGTGAAGATGCCATGATACTTAAACAAAATGGTAAAATATATATTTACGGAGGTTAGGCATTTAAGCACATCTTTTCAGTATGTACCTTTTCATTATTGTCTAAATTTGAACTAAATTTAATTGCATTTTGACCATCAGTCATATAAACACTACGTTAGGAATACTAATTTTTCATTTTAGAGGAGCAACAGGAATTTGTGAGTGTTCCTAATTTACTATAATAATTGGCCTAATTAAATTTAAATTTTTTTTTCAAAACTTGTGTTTGTGGTAACAGTAGTTATCTGTGATACCTTTAATAACCCGTACTTATATATTTACTCATTATATTATCAACAAACTTTTCAGTTGATTTTAATTGCTATTATCCAATGTCGTCTAT